ACGCCCAGCGAGACGGCCGAGGACTCATGGGCAACGACAGGGGGGGTGGCTCTCTTTCGCGATGTTGGAATTCTGCTGCAACGTCGGATCTCAGGGTGGGCGGACGGGCCTAGGGGTGGAAGCATCGACCCCCTGTCGCCCATTCACCGCCAGGCGGGGCCCTTGGCCCGCGTTTTCTCCCAGAAGCGCGCGGCTTCGCTCTTCCAGGGCCCATGGCCAATGCGTCAGTGGTGCATCGCCGATCCCATGTCGATGTGCACCCCTCCCCCCCCCTGGAGCCAGTCCCACCCCGATCGCCCCCCCCTCGAGGACGCGCCAAGAGGCGGCGGGAAGAGACGGCTAACGGGCAAGCAGCCGGCAGCGTCGCAGCCGATTGCACTGGGGGAGGCGGCCCCCTCGGCCTGCCCCGGCGGGCGGCCCTCTCTCGCGGGCGACGCGCGCATGCGGTACCTGCCGCTGGAGGCGTTCTGGTGGCGCAGGGTGGTCTGCGACGAGTTCCACGAGCTGCTCGGCAGATACCCGCCCGCGCAGGCGCCGGGCCGGGCGCAAGGGGGGGCTGGCTTCGGCCTCGCCGCAGGGCGCCCTTCCCTGCACACCTTGCGCCTCCTCCCGGGGTGAGCCAGACCCTGAGACGTGTGATGTCTGGAGTGTTAGGGCCTCACGGCTGGTGCCGCCGACCCTGAAGACGACGATAACGACGACGACGACGACGACGACGACGACGACGACGACGACGACGACGACGGCGGCGACGACGAGGACGAGGACGAGGACGAGGACGACGACGAGGACGACGACGAGGACGACGACGACGACGACGACGACGACGACGACGACAATGCGCTGATGGCTCCGCCACAGTCTCGGGTCAGGGGGCGGGGGGGGGGGGAGGAGGAGGAGGAGGAGGAGGAGGAGGAGGAGGAGGAGGAGGAGGAGGAGGAGGAGGAGGAGGAGGAGGAGGAGGAGAAGGTGGAGGAGGAGGAGGAGGAGGAGGACACCTGAGACGCATGATGCCTTGATATGGTTCAGTATAAGAGGTCCCCTGCAATTCCGACCCTTTCCCCACGATCTTGTTGTTCGCCCCGAGGCGTTTCTCGATGGCCCTGGGGCCCTGCGAGGGCCTCTCGAGGCCGACAGAGTTGTCGGGAGCCTCCCGCGGTGATCCTGCTGCGACGCGCGACCTGTGCTGCTCCCGGGGGAGACCGAGGAGCGCAGCGCGCGAGCACGGGCGCGAGCCCGCCGGGGGGGGCCCGCAGGTGGCATCGCTCGGACGTGTGCTTTTTTTTCCTTCGGCGAGGGTCATTGAGGAGCATCCTGGATCATCCTGCGAAAAATCACAGCGTGAATTACCTACCCCGCTTTCGCTTCCAGGCAAAACCAAGTCATACCACGCGCCTCCTCGTCAAGCGGCCTGACCAGTACAGGCCGTAGTTTGGCATCGCTTGGTATCTCTTGGAAGCGAGGGTGGTCAAAAGCGAGGTAGGTTTGTTTGCCCCTTAAAAAAACCACGCACGGAACCCAAAAAACACAGGGAGTGAACGTCCGAGCGATGGCCAGCGCAGGTGGCCGTGGAGACGTTCCGCGCGGACTACAAGTGGGGCCTCAGCGGCACGCCGCCCTGCCAGACCCTGGCGCAGATCCGGCGGGCCGCCGGCTTCCTCGGCGTGCAGCTGCCGGCCGCCGGCGCGGGCGACGAGGGCGGGGAGGCGGCGCGGCGTGTGGCGCAGGATCGCCGCAGCGGGGCGGGCGTGTCTTTTCTGTGCCGCAGTTTCGGGGAGGCCCCTCCTGTCCTGTGAGCTGCGCTCTTTTCTCGTATTCTTCACGCCTCGCGCATCCCCACCAGCCTCGCCGGTCCGCCGCTGAGCTGCTGCGTGAGGGCTCGGTTAGCCGCTGTAGGTGTGACCACCCTCCGTCGCTTTAGGTTAATTTATCGCTGCGTGCCCCGCTTTGACTGGACTCGCCGCCGGCGCGCTCGCCCGCGGCCGCTGACTCAAAAAAGTATCCCCGCCAGCCCAGTCAGAAACGCTGCCCACGAGAGCTGACGGGAAATGGGAGGAAGCGACATATATGGTGAATCAAAGCGGGCAACCATGCGGGCGAAGGACGAGGGCGGGCGGGGAGTACGAGGAGGAGGGGGGTGGCTTGGACGACGAGGGCAAGGCGGACGAGGATGAGAGTGAGGACTCGAACGGAGGGCGGGAAGTAGGACGAGGACGTGGAGAAGGAGGAGGAGGAGGAGGAGGGGTATGTTGAGAAGAAGGGGGAGGAGGAGGAGGAGGAGGAGGAGGAGGAGGAGGAGGAGGAGGAGGAGGAGTGGAGTGGAGTGGAGTGGAGTGGAGTGGAGTGGAGTGGAGTGGAGTGGAGTGGAGTGGAGTGGAGTGGAGTGGAGTGGAGTGGAGTAGAGAGGAGTGGAGTGGAGTGGAGTGGAGTGGAGTGGAGTGGAGTGGAGTGGAGTGGAGTGGACGCCGCTGCGGATGCCCGTGCCGTGATCATCAACTGACCACCCTACGCCTCGTGACTCGAACGGTCCCCCGATTGTCTCGCAGCCTGTTCTGCTCGACTGAGGCCCTTCGGGTGCAAACCTCCACTGATCCTGTCGAGGTATCCTCGTCCAGTCTCGAAAATCTTAGGCTTACAGTGGGCCTTTCACGCTCGCAGCTGCTTATCTGCAGACGCCCCGCACGTAGCACACGGCCTCACATGAAGGGACATATGTGTACATTCACTGTGCGTGGTATGTGCCCAGCCCCTCGCTGTATGAATTCTGTCCCGCTTCATGGGCGAGAGTAGAGCCCGTCTACAGTGTATAATCTCGGGCACGGTGACCTCCACCATTCCTCAGCTGTGCTCAAGGAAGCAGACCCGTACTGGGGGCACCGTCTTTTGCAGTCAGCTAAATTTATGTTATGTTGGGGGAGAAGGGCCGCAGCAGCAGCAGCAGCAGCACACGGTAGGGGGGGGGGGGAGGGGCGGCCGGTCAGCCTATCCATCCCCTCAGTCGCTTCAATGGCCGCAGTATTGTTCACGGACGCCCTCAGCAATCGTAACTTGATCAGATCTTCCCGATGCTCGTGCAGAAGGACCCGCGTGCGAGCATTTGCAGCCAGTCTACACTTGTTGGCCACATAGTTCCGCGGACTTCTCAGCAAAGGTTGCCTACCACAAAGTTCCGAACAATTGTCAGCAACAATGTTGGCAGCCGTCTGGTCAGAGTGAGCCCAGAGTACAACGGCATGACCGACACTCCTGTCATGCATGAGGCCTCTTCTTTTGCTCCATCGATCTGCATCGTCGCCATCAGGATGGAGATGCCGGCCTCTGTGCCATCCTTTGGCAACCAGTCCCCAGTCCGTGACAGACGTCAGAAAATCAGATGTACACCACAACGCGAGATACAGCGCGCCACAAGGTCTCCTCGCGCCAAAACTTGGCGGCGGCCCACTAAACGCCCAGACGCCGTCGCTCTTATTTTGACCTCGGGGAGGATGGCCGCCAGGCAAGCTACAGCAATTCCTACTCTGCCGAAGTTATTGGGTACCGAACCGCCCCTTCCCAACGCATCCCCGAAAAAGAGCAATGTTCGCTATCACATAGCGTACCCGGTATCTCCTGCTCGAGCCCGTGGAGCCCTGTAGTTTCCACTCTGCCGCAGTCGGTGGATCAGGTAGTTCAGTCCAGCTAAACAGTATTATACCACGCAACCATTTTCACATGTGTTTGATTTGTGTGCATGCTTGTGCTACCATGTCTGGTTGTGATCAGAAGGTGCAGCCCCAAAGTTCTTCTCACATTCCCAGAATCTGTGAAATGTTGCCGCAACCTTCAATCTGCATCTGTCACACATATATTTATCTTCCTATCTTTCAAGTTGCTCGCATTTCTTTTGTTTTGTCCACAATCCACCCGTGCAACAATTTACCGTGAGCCCCCCCAGGTGAGCACCATTCGACCATTGGTTGATGTATTTCAGGAGCGTGCGACATGAAGTCAGATTCGCCCCCTCCTTCAGACCACCACCACACTAGTGTTTTGAAGCTTTGCGCTAATTCAGTCGTCTTGCTGAGTCCTCGATATCATTCAGCAAGTCGCGATGATGGTCTAGGGCTGGGTTCCCTTTAACACTTAATCAGGAACTTGCCATTCCTCGACCTGGGCTCTGCCGTGAAACAGGAGACCATTGTCGCCTTTGGGGGGTCTCATTCCAGCTTGAGCGCATTCAACATCACCGCTGAACTAGGTCCTCTAATCGATTGTACTTGGTCTCGCGGCTCCTTGGTCTTGAGTTCCGTCAACATGTGTGTCCATACGTGTCTGATGCCCATTCTCAAGCTGGGGTGCGCCTGCCGCATCTTGAGCCACTGATCGATGCACTGCGTCGGATACTGCACGGCTGGGTCAGCCTGTGGCGCTCGAAGCTCAAGTAGGTTCGTCAAGCACCTGACCTTGGCCCCCACATCACATATGTTTCCAAGTCTGCGTCTGCATCGTAGTAGTTGTTGACCAAGTACTCCGAGTATTTGGTGACCATATGTGCCAGCCGCTTGCCCTCCAGCACGTTCATCTGATTCAGAATACCATAGCGCTTCGAGGCTCTGGTGAAACTATTGATATTATCACTCACCAGCGCATGCTTCTCTTCACTTTATCGTCGAGTCGCTCGTCCAAGTCGGCCACAGCTAAAATCAACTTCCAGGTCTGCCACCTGGGGAGCAAAACGAATAGGAAAGCCACGCATGTATACTGGCTGCACGGTTGCTTGCGCCGATTGAGGGGCAGGACACATCAAGTCATCTCCGTGCAAGTGTCGATCCAATGTTTGCCAATTCTTGCGTCGTCTTACCCACGCTCCTGATGATCTGATCTCTCTGATCGCGCCTCTCGATCCTGTCGTTCGCTGCGAAATACCATCAAACCGAGGACATGCTTTGGGTCAAGAAGAGGAGACCCCGAGTGATGATATTTGGAATCACACCGCCGCCGAGGATGAGGCCGCCGCTGTTATTCACGGATAGCTACTCCTCCCACCATCTCCAGGCAGCGCAGCCCAGCCCCGCTTGTGCCGGCACCCTCCCGATGTGACCCCGAGCGGGGCATCACGAGAACCACAGGCTCTCTGCGACGGGCCGAATTTTTGTGCTTCGAAGCTGTGCAGCCTCCTGGTTGGTCCTGACGTCGAGGAAAATCATCATCATCATCACCATCATGAATCATCATCATCATCAGCATCATCAACATGATCAGCATCATCATCATCATCATCAGCATCATCATCAGCAGCATCATCAGCATCATCACCATCATCGTCATCATCATCATCATCACCTGACGGCCCCTCAGGCTTGGTCTGACGGGGGGGCGCTCGTGTTTGTCACGCAGAGGGACTCGCTGCCTCTGCAGAGGCAGCCGCGCCCTTGCCCACCGCTTTGGCCTGCGCCGCCGTCGCCGCGAACGTGGCCGCTGAGAGGCGCTGCGCCTCCTGGGTCATCTTGTCGTCCTTGGCCTTGAGGGCCTCGGGGTTGTCCGTCTCGGCGCTTGCCGCCGCCGCAGTAGGTGCAGCCTGGCACGCTGCGTCGCCTCCACCTCCAGCAGAAGGCGCGTCTGGTGCAGCAGCCTGGCCATCAGCTCCACGACGCTTATTCGCAAGCCTGGAAGCGAAAGCCGTCTTGTAGTCCCCCGATTCCCTCATCCACTGTTTAATCTCCGCCCCCTTGCTGCCGAAGGTGGACTTGGCCTCCTCAAGTTGGCGTTGGATGGCCTGGAGCGCGTCCTTCCCGGCCTGCGTGCACTCCATGCTCTCTACGTTCTGGAGGAAGGAGTCGTCCCACTCGACGTTGCACAGCTTGTCGTTCTTGGCATCGGTTGTCTGCCCTGAGCCCTTAGTTCGAGCCAGCTCCGCTGTCGCCTGCTTCTTCCTCGCCATCGCCTCAGCAAGGGCTTTCTGACGCTGCCGCCTCCTGAATGTCCGCAGAGGCCAGATTGCTGCAGATCCTCATCACGCTGCTCACCGCTTGCTCGTGGAGATGCTCCGCGTTCTTGCCCGCGCCCTACGCCCCCCTGAGCGCCTCCACCGGTGTCTTCTTGCCGCCGCCATCGCTGGCCTTCGCTGTGAGCTGGCTGAGCTGCGATCGTATGACATGCTGCAGCTCAGGGTCCTGGGCCGCCTCGATGGCCTGCTGCAAGTGGTGGCGCACATTTGTATCATGTCCCACCCCTCCTTCGCCCTTGCCGTCGCCGTGGCCTCCACGGTTGCCCGCTAGCGAGGCGATGCAGCTCGACGTACTCAAGATGTTGATTGGGCTTGGGGGGAGGGGCTGGAGCGCGTTTGCCTCGTAGTCCTCGCCATGGTAAGCGTCTTGGAAGGCATCATCACCATCATGTCTAGAAAAATGGGCACGCCGCTGCAGTGTGAACAGTACCACCTCCGAACCTCGCTTGGAACAGATCCAATGATTCTGGAGAAATTTATTGTTCCACTCGCACTTCCTGCACTCATCACGACGAGACCAAAGACGCGCCATGAGTATGATACCTGCCTAATGTGTTAGTCGGCACCTTAGAAAGGCTGGCGAGCTTTGATGCAGTGCCTCGGGCGCTGCGTGGAAGTTCAGAGGCATTGGTTCATGCAAAGTGCTCGGGCCCAAGTTGCTTGAGAGGACGAGGAGGAGGAGGAGAAAGAGGAGGAGAAGGAGGAGGAGAATGAGGAGGAGGAGGAGGTGGAGGAGGTGGAGGAGGAGGAGGAGGAGGAGGGGGGGGGAGGAGGGGTGGGAGGGGAGCAGGAGTAGGAGGCGGAGGAGGAGGACGGGGAGTAGAACGAGGATGCGGAGGTAAATGACGAAGGCGAAAGGGATGACGAGGAGGAGGACGAGGACGAGGAGGAGGAGAGGACCAAAACGAGGACGAGGACCAGGAGAACGAGGACGAGGAGGATGAGGACGAGGACTCTGGCAGCAATCTGGGGGACTTCTTGAGGCCCTCTTGCTCCTTGGGTTCTCTTGGGGGGCATTGGGGTGCCCTCGGGCTCTTTGGGGGGTCTTCGGGCCCTCTTGGAACCCTCTTGGGAGCCTCTTGGGAGCCCTGGCGGACTTCTTGGGGCCACCATGGAGGCCAGCGATCGAAACGAGGACACCACGAGCCCTTAAAACCGTCTCTTGGTGCCATCTTTGGGCGCTCTTGGTGCGCTCTTGGGCGCGCTTGGGGCCATCTGCGGAGCCTCTTGGGCCCTCTTCTCGCTCTCTTGGGCCATCTTGGGCCCATCTTGAAGCCTCCAAATCGCATCAGGAGCGAAAACGCGAAGCGGCAACAAGCATACATGCTCTTTAGGTTGATGAAGGGTTTGGGCCTCCGGGGGGGGATCGTAATGGGGGCTCCGAACGCACTTGGAACCGTCTTGTGGCCCTCGTGGGATCTCATGGAGGTATGTCGAAAACTATGTTGAACCATCTTCGGTTATCTTGAGCCGCTTGGGAGGCCATCTTGGAGAATCGGAGGTCCTCTTGAAGCCATATGTTGCCACAAAAAGCCCTCTGCCACCTCGCGACTTCCCCCCCAAAAAAGAGAGAGAAAGAGGGAGAGAGAGAGAGAACAAAAAAACATGAAGGGAAGCGGAAAAGGTACCCCTCTCCGAAGGGAAGAGGGGCTTCGGAAGAGGAAAGAGAGAATGGGTTCGAGCGCCTACGCCCTGAGGGTTGGTGGGATTCTGACGTGGGCTCGACGCGGATTCGACGTGGATTCGACACGCATCCCACACGGAGAAGACGCGTTCGACATGGATCCAGCACGGATTCGACACAGATTCGACGCGTTCGACACGGATCCGACGCGGATGCGACACACATGGCAAGCGCGATGGGACAGACGAGGTCCCCAAGAGATGCCACGTGAGGTCTTGAGGGAAATTGGCCCTCCCTTGGTTGCAGGTTTCGAGGCTCTGGAGCCGTCCACGGGCTCCGGGACCTTCAGCAATAGCCACTCAGGATGAGAGGCTGGCCCGCGCGAAAGGCCCCCATGTGTCCAGGACCCGTTTCCCTCAGACTCCGTTTCCTTAAGGATCTGGGGGGAGGAGAAGCCACAACTAATGGTAAAGTGCCTGTGCTGCCTAAATACACAGCAAAGAGTGTTCAAAACAACGTTTAGTTGCTTGTGCGGAAGATTCTTACAGTTTGGGGGGATCAGCTAGTCTTGCTTTGCAGCTCTGGTTGTCTGCCATGAAAGCACTGCCTGTCGTATTCGAACGCATTTTAATCATAAACAAAGTCGTGGTAGGCCGATGTGAATGCCGGGACGGTCGGAGAAAAGAGCCCCCTCGTTCCCACGGCTGGGCGCGGCTCGAACAACTAGTCAGTTTCGACCCCAGGAGGGGTCTGAGGACAGATGCCGAGCGAATGTACCATTATCTTTCCCTCTTAGCCGATCTTCTCTGGGCTCAACCACCTCAGACCCCCGCGCCGCCTCCGAGTCCGCATGCACACAACATGCCAGAGGTTCGCGCGGATGAGCTCTTGGGTCGGTGCTGGACCTCGGCGGCGCCTCCAGCGCCGCCACTGGCGCGCTCCGCGCGCCACGGGAACGGAGGCCCAACGACGACCCGAGAGATCCGTGCGGACCTCCGAAAGCGTACCCAGGCATCCGATCGATGTCCTGATTTGTTCGGTGCGCGGTCTCTGGAAGTCCCAACCCTTTCCCCAGGGCCGTTTTTGCATCGCGGGTCGGCGCTGGAGGCGTCGCTATTGGCGCGTTGAAGGGGGCACAGCTTCAACCCGAGGTGTCCGCGCGGACCTCCAACAGTTTAGGCTTATACCGTTTGTCTTTTAAAGTAGCTCAACAGTCCTGCCCTGTCGGATTCCTGCCTCAGGTGCTATGCTAGAGGACTTCGTCTGATGGGCCGCGCTTACTGTGAGAGTGGCCATTCTGCTCCCTGCAGGAGTGGCTGGACGCCTTCGTGCGCCGGAACACGGCCGAGCTCCCCCCTCTCGACGAGGAGGAGCGCATCGTGCCGGTGAGGCAGACGCCAAAGGAGTTCGGGCGTGGCTTCCTGGGGAAGCGAGAGAGGGGGGTTAAGAGAGGTGCACCTCTGGCGCCCCTGGGCGGCCTTGAAGGACCCCCCAAAAGGGGCATGCACGGTGTATGTTTCTTCGCCCCCCCGCTGATCGCCCCCCCCCCCCCCCCCCATCGAGCAACGCACAAGGAGAGGGCGCTATACCTTGCGCTGACCGAGCAGCAGCGCCCCCTGCCGTCCCCGGACGCGCCCAGCACAGGCGCTCCGAGGAGAAGCAGACATGGTGGGCGCGTGTCGTGTCGAGGCGGCAGCGACCCCAATGCGGGCCTCAGGGTTGAAGACCGCTGGTGGCTCAGAGTCGACCGAGATGGAAGATGGAACGATCTGGCAATCGAAAAGCCGCCGACCGTTGAAATTTGAACGATCCACGCTGTGTCAGAAACTAACGCCGGAGACGTCACGACACGAGCCTGCTGCAACGACATCGCTGCTCATCATGGAGTGCTCTCGTCGCCACGGCCGGATTCTCTTCGAAGTTCTGGTCAGAGCGCACCCCGGGAGAGATGGCCAAAATCATGGAGTAGCCTTCGTTATTTCTATGATTTTAGCTTTCTCGCCTTTTCGGGTTTCCGATGCTCCAAGACGGCCCCATGGGCCCCCAAGATTGCCTCAAGAAGGCCCAAGAGGCCCTAAGAGGCCCACATGACGGCCCAAGAAGACCCAAGAAGGCCCCAAGACGACCCCCAAGACGGCCCCAAGACGGCCCCACAGAACTTGAGGACGGCCCTGAAACGTTCAAAGAGAGACCCACGAGTGCTCATTGAGGCCCCGAGACGGCCTCCGAAGGCCAAGAGTTCCTTTAGAGGCCCCCAACGGCTCCCAAGGAGAGCCCAATGCGGGGAGTGGCGGCATCGGTATGTTGTTGTTCCCCCAGGCGCGGGGGACGTTCCGGAGCCGCCCGAGTTCCACGCCGCACGCCAGAGTGCCAGCGGGTTGCTGAAGCTCTGCAGCCACTTCTGTGCTTCGGGCGCCGCCGACGTCCTCACCGCCGAGGACCGACGAGCAAGAGACGGCACAAGCATCAACTTGCGGAGGTCCGCGCGGATGTCCTGGACCTGCGCCGGAATCCCTCTCCCCTGGCGCGCCTCCAGCGCCAGGGGCGGCGCGGGAGGCGCCGCCGGTGGACTCCAGCGCAGATCCACGCAATCCGCGCAGAGTTCCGGAATTCCACAGACAGTGCTTGCACGCAGGGGCTCTTCATTTACGGGCGCAGCCCGTAATTTGATTCTCGCGAGGTAGACACTGACAGACTGAACTGAACCACCAGGCCGTTAGATGGCAGTTTTATTTCCGCGGGTGAGGATATTTCGGGTGGCAGTTTTAAGCCAGCTGGTGAGGATATTTCGGGTGGCAGTTTTAAGCCAGCGGGTGAGGATATCTCGGGTGGCAGTTTTAAGCCAGCGGGTGAGGATGTTTCGGGTGGCAGTTTTAAGCCAGCGGGTGCGGATATCTCGGGTGGCAGTTTTAAGCCAGCGGGTGAGGATATTTCGGGTGGCAGTTTTAAGCCAGCGGGTGAGGATATCTCGGGTGGCAGTTTTAAGCCACCGGGTGAGGATATCTCGGGTGGCAGTTTTAAGCGCCAGCGGGTGAGGATATTTCGGTGGCAGTTTTAAGCCAGCGGGTGAGGATATCTCGGGTGAGGATATTTCGGGTGGCAGGTTTAAGCCAGCGGGTGAGGATATCTCGGGTGGCAGGTTTAAGCCAGCGGGTGAGGATATCTCGGGTGGCAGGTTTAAGCCAGCGGGTGAGGATATTTCGGTGGCAGTTTTAAGCCAGCGGGTGAGGATATCTCGGGTGGCAGTTTTAAGCCAGCGGGTGAGGATATTTCGGTGGCAGTTTTAAGCCAGCGGGTGAGGATATTTCGGTGGCAGTTTTTATCCAGCGGGTGAGGATATTTCGGGTCGCAGTTTTAAGCCAGCGGGTGAGGATATTTCGGTGGCAGTTTTAAGCGCCAGCGGGTGAGCATATTTCGGTGGCGGTTCTGAGCCAGCGGGTGAGGATATCTCGGGTGAGGATATTTCGGTGGCAGTTTTAAGCCAGCGGGTGATGATATTTCGGGTGGCAGGTTTAAGCCAGCGGGTGAGGATATCTCGGGTGGCAGTTTTAGGCCAGCGGGTGAGGATATTTCGGGTGGCAGTTTTAAGCCAACGGGTGAGGATATCTCGGGTGGCAGTTGTAAGCCAGCGGGTGAGAATATTTGGGTGGCAGTTTTAAGCCAGCGGGTGAATATTTGGGTGGCAGTTTTAAGCCAGCGGGTGAGGATATTTCGGTGGCAGTCTTAAGCCAGCGGGTGAGGATATTTCGGTGGCAGTCTTAAGCCAGCGGGTGAGGATATTTGGGTGGCAGTTTTAAGCCAGCGGGTGAGAATATTTGGGTGGCAGTTTTAAGCCAGCGGGTGAGGATATTTCGGTGGCAGTTTTAAGCCAGCGGGTGAGGATATTTCGGTGGCAGTCTTAAGCCAGCGGGTGAGGATATCTCGGGTGGCAGTTTTAAGCCAGCGGGTGAGGGGTGGCAGTTTTAAGCCAGCGGGTGAGGATATTTCGGTGAGGATATTTCGGTGGCAGTTTTAAGCCAGCGGGTGAGGATATTTCGGTGGCAGTTTTAAGCCAGCGGGTGAGGATATTTCGGTGGCAGTTTTAAGCCAGCGGGTGAGGATATTTCGGTGGCAGTTTTAAGCCAGCGGGTGAGGATATTTCGGGGCCCAGCGGGTGAGGATATTTGGGTGGCAGTTTTAAGCCAGCGGGTGAGGATATTTCGGGTGGCAGTTTTAAGCCAGCGGGTGAGGATATTTCGGTGGCAGTCTTAAGCCAGCGGGTGAGGATATCGCGGGTGGCAGTGGCGATTTTCCGCCAGGGACGGTGATGATATTTCTGGGCCAGTTGCGCAAGAGGGCACGCGCGCAGCCGCAGCCTGCCCGCAGCCGCACGCGCGCTCAAGCTCGCTTTTCCACTAGGGAACGCATCGCACTTCCTGCCACATCTTGGGCATCATGCCTGTACGCAAAAAGCCGAGAGGACGACGAGGAGGAAGAAGGCGGAGGACGCGGACGGGATGAGGAGGCAGCAGAAGGGAGGAGGAGGAGGAGGAGGAGGAGGAGGAGGAGAGGAGGAGGAGGAGGAGGAGGAGAGGAGGAGGAGGAGGAGGAGGAGGAGGAGGGAGGAGCCGAGAAGAGCTGTGCTCGGCGCGGGCATCCAGCCGCCACGCGATGCGTCATTCGCTTGGTTGGCCCAGCCGACGGCTACGCATCCAGCGCGGTGCTGCGCCCGTATATATGCTCGCCCCTTGGCTTGGGGCTGGCGGGGGGCCAAGGGGCGAGCTGTCCGGTCATTGCTTTCGAACGAACTGGGCAGGTATGCCGCTCTGGCGGCTGTGTTATCGCCGTCGCCGCCCCGTCGCCGCCCCGTCGCCGCCCGTCGTCTCGGTCGTTGTGGCGGTCCGGCGGCTATATGTTGTCGCAGTCGCCGCCCTGTCGCCGCTCGTCGTCTGGGCCAGCGTGGCGGCTTGGCGGCTATGTGATCGCCGTCGCCGCTCCGCCGCCGCCTCGCACAGACTGCACAGCAGAAACTGCACAGCATAGACTGCACCGCAGAGCTTGCTCCGCATAGACTGCACCACGAAGGTGGCACAACATAGACTGCACCACACACACATTGCACCACACCTGTTGCACAGCACAGATCGCACAACACAGAGTGCACCACATACGTTGCACAACATAGGTTTCACCACACGTATTGCACCACATAGATTGCGCCGAATATATGGCACTGCATAGGTTACACCACATACATTGGCCCACAAAGATGGCACCACATATCGTGCACCTCGTAGATTGCAACACAACTCGTGCACAACATAGATCGCACAGTACATATCGCACCACATACATATGCACCACACATATTAGCGCCACACAACACAGCTATGCACTACGAAGTAGCGCCACACATATTGCACCACATAAGTGCACGACGTAGACTACACAGCATAGGTCAGGTCACATGATATATATTACACAACATAAATTGCACACCAGAGATCACAACCACATGGATCGCAACACATAGATAGCAACGCATAGACTGTGCCACATACATGGCACAACCTGACTTTTTACATACCTATATGTATATATAGTTCCGCTTCGATTGCACATCACATATTGCTAGAAACCACCTGATGTGGGCTCACGCTGGCTGGCATTTTGATGCATACGCATGTCTTGCCAAACGGGGTCAAGAATTATTGAATCGCTTCGCTCATTCCGCCGGCCCATTTCGCATGACTGAGCCTCTTGGGGCCGCTGGGGGGCCTCTTCAGCGTCGCTTGGGGGCCTCCTGAGGGCCTCTTGGGGGCTTTTGGGGCCTCTCAGGGGCCTCTTGAGGCCTCCTGGGGGCTTCTTAAGGCCGAGGGCTCGAAGTTTTGTTTTGTGTTCCCCCTTTGGGGCATCGCTTGGGGCCCTCTTGGGCCCCTTTTGGGCCGTCTGGGATGCCTCTGGGGCCGTCTTGGAGCCCTCTTGGGCCATCTTGGGGCCTTCTTGGGAGCTTCTTGGGGCGTCGGGAAGCCGAAAAGATGGACACGCCAAAATCTGCCCAAAACCTAAGGAATTTTGCCTCTTGGGGCCCTCTGGGGAGTGCTCTTGGAGGCCTCTTGGGGCGTCTGGGGGCCATCTTGGGCGTCTTGGAACGATCGTGTGGCATCTCGGAGCACTCTTGAACCATCTTGGAGGGCTTTTGGCGGCCTCGTGGCCCTTCTTGGGGCTCTCTGGAGGGCCACGGGGGCGGCGCCCAGGAGGAAAACCATCTCAGATCCGACCCTGCCGGGGATTGCCCGGGGTACTTTTCGTCCGGGGACCCCCAGGGGCCGCCCCGCGCGCGCGAAGTAGAAGTATGATTTAGCAGTTACCGGAGATCTTAGCACGCCTCTGGCCCGTTGGGCCGGCGAATACACCACCGCCGCCTCTGCCCCCTCCACCCTCCCCCGGAAAGGAGGAGACAAAGCGGAGGCTTGCAGAGGGAAGGGGGGACGAAGGCGGTGGTGGTCTACACTTCGTCGTGGCACCCTTCTCTTGCTCCTCTGGAGGACGAGTGCCAGCGCCAGCTCGCCCTCCGCCGCGAGAGGCTGCGGGCCGTCGAGCGGGAGGCCCGCTCGCTGGCGGACCGCGCCGCCAACACGGCCAAGCTGGTGCGGCACTTCGAGCCGCACTGGTGCCGCGTGCCCGACCCCAAGGACTACCCGTACCTCGGCAAGGACCGGGGAAGGGAAAGGTACCGAGACCGCTGCGCGCCTCTGTAGGCCTCCTAGATGGGGTCGGAGTAGATGGGGGCGGAGGATCGCGCCGCATCGCCGATGCATCGGCGATGCGGCGCGATGCGGAGCCCGATTTTCTCCACGCTGGCGTCGCCGATGCATCGCCCACGTCGACGATGCATCGCCAGTGCATTGCCGATGCATCGCCGATACATTGCCGACGTATGGGCGATGCAGCGTGATCCCCTCCGACCCCATCTACTCCGACCCCATCTAGGAGGCTTCTAGCTCCCCTCGTCTTCGCCTCTCTGGGCCTGCCAGCAGGCCCTCGCCGGCACGGCCCGATTCGTCTCGGCGTGCGGGTCCGAACGCCCCCTGGGAGAGGTCCAGGGGGGTAGCGGTGTCGGTCGGTACCTTTTCGTTCATCGCAAGGAGACAACGGCTGCGATCAAGTCCAGGCGTTCGAAGAATAATAAGAAGGAGAAAAAGAAGAAGATGAAGAAGGAATTGCATAAGCATAAGCTTTCGGAGCTTCGTGCTGATTTCTCGTATCGGCGCTGGCCCCCCCTGGCGCGCGGAGCGCGCCGAGGGCGGCACCGCCAGGGGTGGCCCAGCGGCGGTCCAAGGAAGCCGCGCGGAGCTCTGAAACTCAGAGCGTGTGCCGCTTGTGGTTCCGCCAGGCTCTCGGCGCTAGGGTGCCCCGCGGGCGCCTGCAAGTCGAAGGCCGACCTGCTCTCCAGGCCTTCTGCCCCGATGCGCCCGCTTTCGAAACGCAGCACGCGCCGCGCTCAAGACGTCCGTGTCAACACGCTACGTGTTCGCTCAGCGTGTGGGCCCGCGTCTTCTACCAGCCTGGAACATATCCCTGTCCCTACGCTGGGCACCTCCTCATCACGATATGCCAATCTTAGGGGTCCCCCTATTTTTTGAGGGCGCATCCCTAAGATCGTCATCGCCTTTTGGCGTGCCAATCTCAGGGATCGGGATCGGTTCGAGGCTGGCAAAGTCTCGGCGAACGCACCGCGCCACGCCTACGTGTGCGACCTCCGTGTGGAAAGCCCCGTGCCAGCACGCCCCGGGCTGCGCGCGTTGCGCATCGGGGCAGCCGAGCTCCAGGCTCTTCGAGCAGCTCGCCGCCACCGGCGACGAGGGCCTGAAGGACCGCGCCCTGCGGCCCGACTTCTGCCACGAGGGCGACGCGGGCGCGGACTGCACCGGCGTCGGCGACGCCCCTGCGGGCCCCCCGCCGCGCGGCGCGTGGAGCGCTCTGGAGGCCGCCGCCGACGCCGACGGGGATGCGCCCACGGCCGCGGGGGCCCCGGGCAGCGACGACGAGGCCGCCGGCCGCGAGAGGATCCGCGGCATCGCCAAGGACGCGGGCGCCCGAACGTGCGTGGGGAAATGCTGGGCACGAAGCCCCGGCAGCAGTGTTGTGTCCGAAGCCGACAGCGGCCGCTGTGGTGCAGGCGGCCTTCTGGCTCAAAGGGGCCACGTCCGCGGCGACACCGGCGGCGAGCCCTGCTCAGGCTCAAAGTCAGCAGTCAGTGCTGCCGGTCTTTGTGCCCATTCTTCTAGGCCTCCCAGGTGGGGTCTGATCCGAGGAGTTAGATGGGGTCGGAGGATCGCGGCGCATCGCTAATGCATCGCCGATGCGGCTCGATGTGGAGCCCGATTTGCTCCGCGCTGGCGTCGCCGCTGCCTCGCCGACGTCGCCGATGCATCGCCAATGCATTGGCGATGCGTTGCGATCCTCCGACCCCATCTACTTGGACCCCATGTGGGAGGCCCCAATTCTTTCCTGACCCATTTCGATCGTCCCGGAAGGAAGTCCTCGCCGTCGCCGCCGCTGCAGACGCCCGCGCCGCCGGCGGCGGCCCCCTGCCGCCGCGCTGCGCACGGCTGCGCGCGGACCTGGGCATGCCTCGCTGGCCGACGGCGGCTCAGCTGGCAGCCGCGGCTGCCGCGGGCGGCCCCGACGGGGAGAAGGGTGCGGAGGCGGTGTGGCACGAGTTCCGCCAGGCTCGGCTACGCGCAAGAATGACCTTTCGCCCGAGTGACCTTTGGTGCGGCCACATTGGAGTTCCCAGAGGGCTGAAAGGAATGCGATGGCAGCGGCTTGCGCGCTCTGTTTTGCCTCCCCCCGCGCCCCCCCCCCCCGAAAGCCGCGCACCAAGGGCCACTCCTGCCAAGGGCCACTCTTGCGTTCAGCCGGCAGGCTGACTGGGCATGGCGCGCGAGTGCGGAGAACGCTGTGCGCCTGCGCAGGGTCGTCGGGGCGTGGAGGGCCGACGCCGAGAGGTGCGCGCAGCAGCTGGCGGGCCTCGCTGGTCAACTGGGGGCCCGGCTGTTGGCCGCGCGTAGCTTCCAGCAGACGCTGCACGCGTCGCAGCAGGGGGCGGTGGACGCCGTCGAGACCAGGCAGGAGCCCACGCGCAGATTCGCCAAGTACGGGTCGAAGATCGAGGCCATCGTCCGGCACGTGCAGAGGCTGCAGAAGGAGGACAAGGGCTGCAAGATCATCTGCTTCGTGCAGTGGGAGGACCTGAAGCGCAAGGTGGCTGCGGCTCTGGACGAGTTCAAGCTCGGCAACCTGACGCTGAGCGGGAGCGTCTGGAAACGCAGGGCGGCGCTGACGCAGTTCCAGTACGAGGAGCAGGGCCCCAGGCTGCTGCTGCTGTCTCTCGAGGAGTCCGCCAGCGGCACCAACTTGACCGCCGCCAACCACGTGATAATTGTACACCCAATGGAGGCCGCGACCAAGGAGGAGGCCGTGGCTTTCGAGATGCAGGTTTCGAAGATGAAATCGGTGCAAGCATGCTCGGTACAAGCATGCTCGAAGGTCCTCGCGGATTTCTTGCTTCGGCGTTGGGCCTTCCTGGCGGCGCCTCCAGCACCGCCCCTGGCGCGCTGGAGGCGCGCCAGGGAAGGGGGGCCCAGCGCCGATCTAAGACATCTGCGCGGAGCTCCGAAAGCTTGTGTTTACGAAATGGGTCGTTCCTCTAAGGCTGTGGGGCGCGTCCGGCGCCCTGGGCAGCGCCGCAAGATCCACATCTGGCGCTTCGTCACGGTGGACACCATCGAGCAGGCCATCACCGAAGAGCACCAGCTCGAGCTCTGGGAGCGCCAGCAGGCGAAGGTGCCCGTCACGCAGCCGGGCCAGGCGGGGCCCGACTCCAGCGGGGACGAGGCGCGAGGAGCAGACTTATAACGGCATGCACATCACTCTGCGGAGCTCCGCGCGGGGTTCCTGGGTCGGCGGTGGAGCCCCCCCTCCCTGGCGCGCGGAGGCCACCAGAGGGGCGGCGCCGGAGGCGCCGCGGGGAGCTCGGCGCCGGAGGCGCGAGCACCGCGCGGAGCTCCGGGAGGCTGCGCGTGCACTCTTGTTTTCGGAAGAGGTGCGCTCTCGAGCCGCGAGTCAAAGAGTGTGCACTTTTGTTTTTTTGTTTTCCTTCCGAGGCGCAGCTGGTCGACGAAGACCCCGCAGAGGCGGGCCAAGAGATCGAGGGAGGCGGCATCCATGACGCGGGGCGTGCCGAAGATGTGGCCGCGACGCAGGAGGCCGCGGTTGCGACCCAGGCGTCTGGGCGCTCACCTGCGAACCCCACCCGTGCGGGTCCAATCGGCGCTGGGGTATCGGACACCCCCGCGAGGGGATCACCGGGGTGCATCCATTGCTCAGGTGTTCGATCGTGGACACCCTTCTTGAACGCAGCCGCCCAGCTTTCGCGCCGAAGACGTTTCAAAGACCGTCAGGATGCCGCCGAAGACCCAGTGGTACGGTAGCACGGGGCCCGTGGTCAAGTACGTGGCAGCTCTGAGCCCTGGCCAGCTTTTCCGGTGTCTGACCTGCAGGGGTAGGGCTCACGCACGGCTGACCATTTATGTCTACATGCCCACTCAAACGAAGGGGGTGCATCGTGCGGAGGGTTTGAATAGGCCTGTCTCGCGCTGGGCGTGGTAGGGTTGGATTGCGTGAGGGCGTGGACTTGGCGAGCGTGGGGGGCTGGAGAGGGTTGTCAGGTGGAATGGTATGGGAAGGGTTTGTTTGAAAAATCTGGAGTCCCAGACATGCGATGTCTTGATTTATTCCAGGCGCGGTCCCCCTAAGTCCCGACCCTCTCCCCGAGTATCGCTCTTCATGCCAGCCTGTCTCTTGATTGTCCCGGGCCCCGGCGAGGGCCCCCGAAGGTCGACGACGGCCAAACAATGGTCGCCGCTTCTTTTTTTGTTGCACGACGCGAGCAGGTCTGGCGGAGCAGCGTCCACGTGTGGCAGTCCACCTCCCCGCAGATCCGACACTGCAAGCAAGAGCGAAACGTCGCAGAGAATCGCCACTGGATCGGGGGCGGAAAAGAGGGGGGTGATGACTACTAGGGGGGAGTGGATATCATGGCGGGGGCCATGACATCTCCCCAGATTTCATGGCGCCTCTTCTTATTTCATGACGCCCCTGGCCCCCCCGCTGGGCCGCGCACGTGCCGCCGGTCATGATCTGCACCCCCCCCTCTTGGACACCCCCCTCCTTGGCCGCTCCCGACCGGAGCCCCGGACAACCCCCTCCTCCTGCGCAGTCTCTCGAGCCGAGCCGACCCGTGAGACCCCCAGGGCCCGAGCGCGGGCGCAGAGCGCCCCAATGGTGAGAAACACACCGCGAGGCCAGGGCCCCCCCCCCGACGCCACGATTTCCTCCTCACCTCGGCCCCCAGAGGCCTCGACCCCCGACCCCCACGATTTTCCCAGACCCTCGACCCCCACGATTTTCTCACAACCTCGACCCCCCCTGGACCGGGACTTCCAGCCCGAGCCGCGTCTGCACCGCCCCGAGGCCCTGGCATACACGGGCCCCCGGGGGCCGAGCGCCTCTCGGTGCTGCATTTTTATGTTCGGCGCGTGGGGGAGGCCCGCCCCCCCAGGCCTACATGCCCGCGCCGCCCCCGCCGGCTGCCGCGGCGGCCGCCCCCGCCGGCCGCGCCCGCGCCCGCGGCCCGAGGGCCGGCGCGGGCGCGCAGCGCAGCGCGCAGCGCGGCGCGCGCCGCCGCAGCCGGTCGGGGCGCGGAGGGGGCGCCGCCGAGGGCGCCGGGCCCAGTGCCGCGGCCGTCGCCGCCGCGGCGGCCGCGGGCCTGGCGGCGGCGGGCATGGAGAGCTGCGAGGAGGATCCCCTTCCTCCTCCCCTCCTCCTCTCCTCCTCCTCCTCCTCCTCCTCTCCTCCTCCTCCTCCCTCCTCCTCCTCCTCCTCCTTCTACTCCTCGCTTTTCCTCGTCTCCCTCCTCCTCCTCCTCCTTCCTCCTCCTCCTTCTACTCCTCGCTCTTCCTCGTCTCCCTCCTCTCCTCCTCGCTCCTCGTCCTCCTCCTCCTCCTCCTCCTCCCACCTCCTCCTCCTCCTCCTCCTCTTCCTCCTCCACCTCCTCCTTCTCCTCTTGATACTCCTCCTCCTCCCGAGACATGCTGCGAGCAGGATCCCAGACAGGCTCGCGTCGTGAACTCAGACATGCTCGCGCTCGCGTCCTGAAACAGTCAGGACGGGAGGTTTTCGGTCGTTTTGGGACTCTGGGGGCCCTTCCCGTCCCCTGGGACAAACACAAACGATCAGGATGACAATCCAGCCCCTCCTCTTCCTCCTCCTGCTCCTCCTCCTCCTCCTCCTCCTCGTCTCCTCCTCCTCCTCCTCCTCCTCTCCTCCTCCTCTCCTCCTCCTCCTCCTCATTCCCCTCCTCCTTCATCCTCCTCCTCCTCCTCCTCGTCCTCCTCCTCCTCCTCCTCCTCCTCCTCCTCCTCCTCCTCCTCCTCCCCTTCCTCCTGCTTCGGGGACGAGGTCGGGACTTCAGGGCCCCGTAGTGCAGAAGCCAGGACACCGCAGGTGCGGGAGCAAGCATCGCAGCGAGGGGGTTGGGGCTGCGTTCGGCCTCTGGGGGCCGCCGCTGGCCCCGAGGACCACCCACAACGGCTCGGGACGGAACACTGTGGCCACCCCGCTGGCCCCGGCCAGGGCCCATTTCGATTCGAGCCGGCTTCGGGCCAGGGCCTCCCCGGGAGGGCGTCGGGTGGACTCCGAGAAGCCCCCTCCCCGCCTCCTCGGACCACCCCGCTCGCCCCAACCAGGGTCCGTTTCGATCCCATTCGACGTCGGTTCCGGCCGGTTCGATCCGACTCGCTTCCGATGTGCCGGCGATTCGATGCGGCCCGATGCTTGCATGGTGCCACTGTGTCCTTGCGCGGCTCCGTGCCGATGCGGCCCGACCCGTCACACACTCTGATTCGATCCGGCTCCCGATTCGATGCTGGCTGAACTTGCCCCGTCGACCCCGGACATGCGACGATGAGGCTTGATCAAACCACCGGCCCGGAGGTTCCGACCACTTCCGATGGGGCCAGTTTTTCGGGGGCGGACAGAAGAACCCCCAACAGTGACACGTCGATTAGTGAATTGTCCGCTTTCGGTTCTCGAGATGGCGCCGTGGCCGTCATTTTCCAGGCTCGCGCCCGCCAGGTTTGGGCCTCAGGTCGTCTTCACTGAACCACGCTTTACGAAAGGGGGGGTCTGTCCACCCCCGAGGTTTGCACCCTGGATCTGTTTCTGTCGGCCCAGAGCCCGACCCGACGACGGGCCCCGGAGGCCCCAATCGAGAAACGGAAGTCCGAGGGGAAACCATCACGTCGTCCGAGATCGGGGCCCCTCTCCGCGCGCCGCCCGGAGGAGCTGGACACGCTCCCTGCGCGCGGCGGGGGCGGGTCTGCCGCGGGAGCGGGGCAGGCCGCCGACGTGGGGGCGACGCAGCGGTACTGATGCTCCGGGGCTCGGAGGCGCCCTCTGCGCGGAGGGCGCGAGGGCGGCCTGGCCTGGCACCGAGGCGGCACCCTAAGCCTTCCAAGGGAGCGACGCAAGGGAACGGTGTCGTTGGCGCCGACATTGGCGCTCGAGCTTATAAGTCGGGCCTGTCCCCCTGCAGGAGGGATTGGCAAAAATGGTCAAACCATACGTAGTCCGGGGACGAAGTTTTGATCACTGTGTGGCCATCGGGGGGGATTGTTTGGATATTTCATATGCTTCGTCCAAAATCCCCCCGGTCGGGGGACAGGCCCGACCTGAGCTTAGGCTGCCCGCGCGAGGTCGCGCGTGAGCGCCCTCGTCTCCGGTGCGGCGCGCTGCGCCGGCGGCCAACGTGAGCCACCGCGTGAGGTCGCTGTGCCATCTCGCGCAGGACCCGTTTCTGATCGTGGCTCAAGTGGGGTCCGAGCAGGTGGAGAAGGAGGAGGAGGAGGAGGAGGAGGAGGAGGAAGGGAGGAAGGGAAGGAGAAGAGAAGGAGGGGTCCGAGTAGATGGGAGGAAGAGAAGGAGGAGGAGGAGGAGGAGGAGAGAGGAGGAGGAGGAGATGCAGGAGGAGGAGGAGATGCAGGAGGAGGAGGGAGGAGGAGGAGGAGGAGGAGGAGGAGGGTCGGGGCCCAGGGGCCTCGCCGCATCGCCGATGTATCGTCGACGCGGCTCGATACAAAGCACGATCTTCTCCACGCGGGCGTCGTCGATGCCTCGCCGACGTCGCCGATGCATCGTCGAGGCATCGGCGATGCGTCGGCGATGCGGCGCGATCCTCCGACCCCATGCGCTCGGACCCCGTGCCAGGAGGCCTCTGGCCAGAGGGGGCGGCCTGGCTCGGCACCGTTGGCGGTGCTGAGGCCTTGGGGGTGGGGCACTCCGGCGCGGCGGGCGTGAGCGGAGGAGGCGTGAGCGGTGCCCAGTGCTGAGAGGCTTCGGGGGCTTGGGGCCGGCCAGGGGCGGCCCGGGGGAGGGCGCCCCCCAGGCGCTGTCTGGCGCGCCGGCGGGGAAGCAAAAAAAGGGGCCTCCACGAGGGCGGCGGGACCTACATACAGATCCAGTGCCCCAGGCCTGGCCAGGCCTGGGCCCAGCAGCGGTGTATACACCCTCGCGGTATGGCCAGGGAGGGATATGCGCCGCCCTTGGGCCCAGGAGTTCCTGGGCCCGGGGCAGTGGACGGGCACAGACGTGTAGATCTTGTTGCCCTATCCACGGCCTCCTCCACTAGGGGCCACGCCACGGGGGGGTAGGCTCGTGCGGGACGTATCAACACCCAAGCTCTTACTCCTCGCCGACAGGGGTCCCAGAGCACACCGCGCCCAGGAACGTCCGGATTCGCGATCGGTGGCATATCGCTGATCTATCGGCAATGTATCGCCGATTCAGGCTCGATGTTTCCCCCCTAGCTGCTCCCCTTGTGACATTCCCCCTCATGTCCTCCCCGCGCCCGGCAGACTTCCAGCGTAATTATTGGAAAACGTGTTTCTCTTTCCTTTGCTTCAGGGGGGTCCTTCTTCGGGCCCCTTGCGGGCTGTCAAGACAAGAATATGAAGGTGAATGGGATCGTGAGTTCCAAGAGGGAAGAGGGGCAGGGGTATGTTCAGACAAACGAGCAACAACAATATGGCGACCCACCACAGCAACTCGGCCGCTCTCGCGGCGTGCACTTCGACTGGAGACCTGACAGGGGAAGAATACTCAGACATCTAACGTCTCGAACGAGGGCAAGACATGTTTTTTGTCGTCCCTTTCTGCGTTTTGGGGCCCCTTTGCCGAGCCTCTGGACCGACAGGTCACAAGAGCCAGCCACTGGGGTACACCTTAGGCGATGCTTAAGAAAACCTAAGTTTTCGGCCAGAGTCTTGATTATTCTTAACTTTTCAATGTAAATCCCAAGATTTTGATAGAAGTTCTGGGTTTGTATTCCAGTTCTGAGACTCTGAATTTCTTAACCCATGGTTTCTTAAGCATTTCGCAGGGTGTAAGGGTCGTCGGGCGGGGCTGGGACAGGGACAACTCGCTCCAGAGCGTTCTGGAACGGTCCCAGAGCGTTCCGGAGCGGTCTGGAACGGCCACCGTTCCGGAAAGCGGTCTGGAACGGCCACGGCGCCCGACACATCTTCCAGAACCGCCAGATCTCAGAGATCCCCGTCCTCGCTTCGTCTTAGGTCGGGACTTTCGGGGGCCTCGTATTGAAAGCATCAAGACGTCGGATGTTTGGGCACGATGCCAGCATCGTCGCCAGCGCCAAGCTGACATCGTTCGTCATCGCTCCTCCTGCCTCCTTCCCCTCCATCTCCCTGGAGGCCTCCACGGTCATCTGGAGTCCTCCCCCTCATCCCCCCCCTCCCTCCCCAGGCATGGTCGCGTCGTGAAAACATCACGATCAGAAATGTTTGGCCGCTCTGGGACTCTGGGAGCCCAGAACTGACAAACAACGTCTCAGGATGAAATGCCGGTTTGTGGGGAGGGGTCGGCACTTCCGGGGGCCCCTGTGTTGACCAAGTTAAGGCATCGCATGTCGGGGTCTCCCTCTCGGGAGGCGGACGAGGGCGGTGGCGACGAGGGCGGTGGCCGGCTGAGGTGCTTCGTGGTCTTCGACGGGCAGCTGAGATTGGCATGTTTTGTTCCACGTGTTTCTGCTTCAGCCACATGGTTTAGCCGAGTTGGGGCCAACTATGTGCACCATCTCGTTTGCACGCTTCTCGAAGCGGCTCCTTTGAGAGCCTTCTGTCGGGGGCGGCCAAGAGGGGGTGTGATGATTAGGGGAGGGTGGATATCATGACGGGCCATGAAATTTCTCTGGCTTTCATGGCCACTTCTTCTTCTTTCAGCATGTCCCCCGATCCCCCCTCGTCCACGAACACGCCTCTGGCCATGATTTGCAAATCCCCTTGTTGGACGCCCCTGATACTGACAATTCCGTTAATCACGATTGGATGTATTGTGTCCGCTTCAAGTTAGCAGGGGCAGGGTTGATATTGCAGTCGAGCCATGCTCAAAGTTCAAGGCAGAGAGCAGGTGCCCTTTTGAAGAGGGCACGGTATCGGGCCCGATGTCCTTGATCGGCACTTCGAGAAACCTTCATCATTATTGGTCTGGAGGACATGAGCAGGGTGATGATGATGATGAGGAGGAGGAGGAGGAGGAGGAGCGTGGAGCCAGGAGCGAGGAACGAGGAGCCAGAAGTGATGAGCGAGGAACGAGGAGCGAGGAGCGAGGATGAGGAACGAGGATGAGGAGGAGGAGGAGGCGGAGGAGGAGGAGGAGAAAGGAGGAGGAGGAGGAGGAGGAGGAGGAGAAAGGGAGGAGGAGGAGGAGGAGGAGGAGGGGGAGGAGGAGGAGGAGGAGGAGAGGAGGAGGAGGAGGAGAGGAGGAGGAGGAGGAGGCGGAGGAGAAGGAGGAGATGGAGGAGGGGGAGGAGGAGGAGGAGGAGGAGGAGAGGAGGAGGAGGAGGAGGAGGATAAGGAGAGGAGGAGGAGGAGAAGCAGGAGGGAGAGATGGAGGGATGGGCAGGAAGAGAAGGAGCATTATCGTGTGCCGCAGCTGTTCGCGTCGGTCTTCATCATTAATTCAGTTGCCCCCGGAGGCTCTGCCACGGCCGCAGCTAGCTTTTGGCCGGAGACCTTGGATGGGTTGGATCGTTGCGTGCCTACATGTTCGCTCCTCCTCCTTCTCCTCCTCCCCCTGGAGCACGACCACGACGACGACGACGACGACTGGAGGACGAGGACGAGGACGACCTGGCTCTTGCCAGAGTTTGAGCAGCCCGCTGGAGCCCTGATCCAGCTTGCCACATGCTTCCTGCAGCCTGGTCCCTCTCCCTCTCCAGGGGCGTTTCCAGCAGCTCAGCAGCCCCTTTGGTGTATCCGCCACTCTGGTGTATCCGAGGTCGGAGAGTGGTCTGCAGTGGCTCCTAGCGTAAAGTGCAAGCTGACTGCGATGCCAAATCTCAGTTCTTGCTGCATGCCACGAGTTTGCATGAGAACCCGCTGCAGCAGCAAAAAAGGCGTGGACGCCCCCGTCTGTCGCTCCTCGTGCCCTCTCAGTACCAGCCCAGGCTTCGAGTCTGCACCTGTCGGGACAACGCGCGTTTAAGTTTGCCAGCGGCACTCTGCCCTCCTCCCATCCCGAATGTCAAGATCGATGGGTTCTACCGCGATGGCATCGACCTCCGAGCCTTAGGGGCCACGACCCTTCCCACCCGCTCTTAGTAGGGCCGCGCTCTGGCGCGTGTAGGGTGTTCGTTCGTTCCTCCTCCCATTCCGTCTCGCTGTACAGTCGGGGCCCTGAAGAAGGAACCCTTTTTGTTGGGGAGGGGCTCCGTGTTCCTTAGTTGCTTTAGAGTGCTCCTTGGGTTTGCCTGAGGTTGTCCATGGAAAATCGGAGTTTAATGTATGGGAAAAAGGAGCCTCGTTCCTTATTTTTCGCTCCTTCGGTCAACGCCCCGACTGTACTCCACGCCCCTAACCCCCTCTCCAGGATCCGTTTCGACCCAGTCTACCCGACTTGCTTTCGATTCTGGCCGGCCCGATCCGATTCGACTCAGATCTCCCCACGATCCGATGTATACAGTCGGGGCGCTGAAGAAGGAACCCTTCTCGCTGGGGAGGGGCTCGGTGTTCCTTGACAGTTTCAAAAAGTTTGCCTCGGGTTTTCCTAAGGTTTTCCATAGGAAATCGAGGTTGCACTTATGGGAGAAAGGGGCCTCGTTCCTTATTTAGGGTTCCTTAGGTCAACGCCTCCACTGTATCGATGCTCGCATTGCGCTCGTGCACATCCTGGCGCGGCCAATCCGATTCCGACTCCGAGTCTGAGGCAGCCGGCGCACAATTCGATCCGATCCGATTGGCACGCTGGTCGGCATTGGCAAAGCGAGCGAACTTTCAGGCGATTTCGCAGTGGAGAATCATCCCGATTCGATCCGATTTACCGATTAGATGCTGACTGATCCTACCCCAGACCCTTTTTCCGCGCACTGCCAATAGTTAGTAGCATCCAAGAAGGGAGTGAGGACGAGGGGGTGATACCATGACAGGGGCCACGATGCTTCAGGTCTTATGAAAACCAAAGTACAATTCAGACCCCCTGGCGTCGTGAACAAAGTCGTGAGTGTAGGTTTTTGCCGTTTTCGGCTTCCAGGGGCCCTCGCCGGGCCTCGGGTCCGTCAAAGAACCACTCGGGATGAAGAACCGGTCCGGGGAAGGGGTCGAGACCTCTGGAGGTCGACGTTATGAACAAAATCATGGCGTCGGGGCTTTGCGTATGTTCCCTGCCCTCCCCCGTTGTCCGCTCACGTTCCTCGGGCCACGATGTGCTGCCCCCCCCCTCTTGCCGACGCCCTCTGCGGCGCACCCCACACAGCCCCTGACGGCGTCGGACCACCACCGGGGTTCGTCAAACTCTCCCCCGATGGAAGCTGCATGCCTGTCTTCTCTCTCGCTCTCTCTGGTCCACGTGTGACCTCTTTCTGCGGCCAACCTGTGTCGTGCCGACCTGTCGGCGACTCCAGCGTGGACATGCAAGGTTGACTACCGCCAGTGGTCCAGAATCGGCCGAGATCGAAAGATCTGCGCTAGCTGGAAGCCGCGATCGCGTAAGGTTGAATGACCCACGCGGCGTCTGAAACCAACGCCGAAGTCGGCATGACACGAGCCTGCCGTATACATGCATACAAAGACATACTCAACATTCCTGAAGAACAACTTGACGGAAGTGGTCTCAGGGAACGCTTCGGGGTCGCATCAGAGTCTTCGTGGGACTACCTGGTCATGACGCCATCTTCTCGCAACGGCGACTGGCGACCCTCCTCCCCTGTCCAACGTTGCATCGAACCCCCCGTGCGGCACCGGCCCCTTGACGATCCAACTCTGGATGGGGGAGGGGGCCTGGCACATTGATCCGTCAAGTTTCTCTTCGAGAGGGCTTCGTGTTCCCCTAAGCAGTGCCCGAACTCAGGGGTTCTTACCTCTGGCCGCGATGAAGTGGATGGGTGCGCCGAAGTTACACCACGTTGCCGCCCGTGGGCTTCTCGCGGACGCCCCCCGCGGTGGGTAAATCCGCCGAGATGTCGCCTCTTTGTCGCCCGTGGGCGCCTCGTGGGCGCCCCGTGCGCTGGATGGGTCCGCCGAGGTTGCGCCCCGCTGCCGCCCGTGGGCGCCTCGTGGGCGGGCCGTGCGCTGGGTGGGTCCGCCGAGGTTTCGCCACGCTGCCGCCCGTGGGCGCCCCGTGGGCGCGTCACAGGTGCACGACGTGGCTCACACCACGTCGATTCCACTGCACAGCTGCATAGCTCACGCACTGCACCACTTAACTTACCCTACACAGCTCACCCCATATATATATATATATATATATATATATACATACATATATACATACATACATACAGACATATATATATATATATATATGTACACCCCACTGCGTACATTCCCCTTTTCAATCCACCTCCCGAGCATGGACTTATCCCCCGTTTGCGTATTGCAATGTGCATGCGGTTCTGCCTCACTGCGCACTACGATGCCATACCATTCCAGCCCAACCAGCAGCGACCCCGAATCCTTGATTAACCATCCCGCGCACGCGCACTCGTCAATTTCAATCGATTCCCTAAACAGTGCTTGCACTTAGGCACTTAGGGCTTCTTATTTCTTTTCGAGGGAACTGGGCCTGCGGGCTGGTCTGGCGGTTGCGTGCTCGCCGTCGCCGCCCCGTTGCCGCGTCGTCCGTTGCCGCGTCGTCCGTTGCCGCGTCGTCGCCGCCCGTCGTGGGGCTTGCGGGCCAATTTGACAGCTCCGTCGTCGCCGTCGCCGATCCATCGCTGCATTGCGTTAATTTGAATGGTATTGCTTTGCATTGCTGTGCGTCGCCCAGCGTTGCTTTACATTGCCGTGCATCGCTTTGCGTTGCTTTGCATTGCGTTGTGTTGTTTTGCGTGTTACTGCGTTGTGCTGCATTGCTTTAGGTTGCTTTTCGTGGCTTTGCGCTGCTTGGCGTTGCTTCGCATTGCTTCGCATTGCTTCGCATTGTTTTGTATTGCTCTGCATTGTGTAATGTCGTGTTTCCGTTCTTGAAGAAGAACAGACTCCACCTTCATTCCGAGGCCAGACTTACCTGTTTCCCTTGGGACATTGCACTTTGCATATGATGTTGCCCAATCGCCCATGTTTTGTATGAGTTCATACCATCCCAGTCAGACGGGTATCGCCCCCCCCTGTCATTCCTGTCAAAGAATAGTACGCGCGCGCACCCGTTCATCAAACATCATCCAGTTCATCCCTTGCAACAAACGATACTAAGTCCACACGCGCGCGCCGTAGCGCGCGCATGCCTGAATATTTCAAACACGCTTGACTTCGTAAGGATTTCAAGATCGAGGTTTTCACAAACATGTAAAAACCAATGGTGCTACACCAATGCACGTCGAAAAATCGGCACGCGCGCTCTTGCTAGTTCTTCTGGTTGCAATCGGTGTTTCGACATGTTTGTCAGTTAAGGCCGCGCGGGCCTCTCGCGCGCGCGCGTATCGAAATCACTCGACCGCCCTTGCGCGTTTGCTGGGGGGGATGGGGGGCGATCCCCGTCAGCTGCGCGCGCGCATGCCGAAATC